GTGCCATTGATGTGTCTACATGGACAAGGTCCTACATAGAAAGTTAGTCCAAAAGTTAAGGACCCATGGATTCAAGGCTAGTTGGCAAATTGGTTCCAAAATTGGCTTGCAAGCAGGAGGCAAAGGGTAATGGTAGAGAGATGCTTTCATGATTGGAAGCCTTTGACCAGTGGGGTACCACACGACACAGTGCTGGCGGTACCTGTTGTTCATTGTGTGCATTAACGACTTGGATGTGAATGTAGAAGGTATAATTAGCAAGCCTGCAGATGACAAGAAAATTCGTATTGTTGTTGATACTGAGGAGGATGGTCTCAGGCTATAGTCTGATATTGAGCAGCTGATAAATTGAACAGTGGCGAATGACACACAGAAAAAAATGCCTGCCGAAAGTATTTGGGCCTTAGAATGCATTTATAATAATATAAGAACATAAGAACATAAGAAGTAGGGGCAGGAGTAGGCCGTCTGGCCCTTCGAGCCTGCTCCGCCATTCAATAAGATCATGGCTGATCCTTTCGTGGACTCAGATCCACTTACTCACGTTCTCACCATATCCCTTAATTCCATTATTGTTCAAAAAAAATCTACCTTTTTTTTAAAAGCATTAACTGAAGTAGCGTCAACTACTTCACTGGGCAAGGAATTCCATAGATTAACAACCCTATGGGTGAAGAAATTCCTTCTCAATTCAGTCCTAAATCTGCTCCCTCTAATCTTGAGGCCATGCCCTCTTGTCCTAGCTTCACCTGCCAGTGGAAACATCCTCTCTACTTCTATCTTATCTATTCCCTTCATAATTTTATATGTTTCCATAAGATCCCCCCTCAATCTTCTGAATTCCAATGAATATAATCCCAATCTACTCAGTCTCTCCTCATAAGCCAACCCCCTCAACTCTGGAATCAACCTAGTGAACCTCCTTTGCACCCCCTCCAGTGCCAGTACATCCTTTCTCAAGTAAGGAGACCAAAACTGCACACAGTACTCCAGGTGTGGCCTCACCAGCACCTTGTACAGCTGCAACATAACCTCTCCGCTTTTTATTTCAATCCCTTTAGCAATGAAGGACAAAATTCCATTTGCCTTCCTAATCACTTGTACCTGCAGACCGACCTTCTGTGATTCATGCACAAGGACACCCAGGTCCCTCTGCATAGCAGCATGCTGCAACTTTTTACCATTCAAGTAATAATCCTTTTTACTATTACTCCTACCAAAATGTATGACTTCACATTTATTTACATTGTATTCCATCTGCCAGACATTTGCCCACTCACTCAATGTATCTATGCTCCTCTGCAAAGTTTCACAGTTCTCTGCACACTTTGCTTTGCCACTCATCTTAGTGTCATCTGCAAACTTTGACACCCTACACGTGGTCCCCAACTCCAAATCATCTATATAAATTGTAAATAATTGCGGTCCCAACACCGATCCCTGAGGCACACCACTAGTCACTGATTGCCAGCTAGAATAGCACTCATTTATCCCCACTCTTTGCTTCCTGTTAGTCAACCAATCCTCTATCCATGCTAATACTTTACCCTTAATGCCATGCATCCTTATCTTATGCAGTAGCCTCTTGTGCGGCACCTTGTCAAAGGCCTTTTGGAAGTCTAGGTACACCACATCCACTGGATCCCCATTGTCCACCTCGCTCGTAATGTCTTCATAGAATTCCAAAAGATTTGTCAAGCATGACCTGCCCTTTATGAACCCATGCTGCGTCTGCCCAACGGGACAATTTCTATCAAGATGCCTTGCTATTTCTTCCTTGATAATAGACACAAGCATCTTCCCCACTACAGAGGTCAAGCTAACTGGTCTATAATTCCCCATCTTTTGTCTACTTGCCTTTTTAAACAGTGGCGTCACATTTGCTGTTTTCCAATCTGCTGGGACTGCCCCAGAGTTCAGCGAATTTTGGAAAATTACTGCCAGTGCACCTGCTATTTCTCCCGCCATCTCTTTTGGTACCCTGGGATGCATTCCTTCAGGGCCAGGAGACTTATCAATCCTTAGCTCCATTAGCTTGCCCAACACTACCTCTTCCGTAATTATGATTGTTTCCAGGTCCTCACCTACCTTCGTTTCTTTGTCTATTACTGGCGTGTTATTAGTGTCCTCCACTGTGAAGACCGATACAAAATACCTGTTCAATGCCCCGGCCATTTCATCATATCCCATAACTAAATTCCCCTTCTCATGCTCTAAAGGGCCAACGTTTACTTTAGCCACTCTTTTTCGTTTTATATATTTATAGAAACTATATATTTATCGTATTTATAATATATATTTATATTTATTTATATATTTATAGTATGGTGCATGTGAATTCAGCGATTTAGAAAGGAAATTGGATAGATAGCTGAAGAAGTGCAATTTTCAAGAATGTCTTGACAGATCTGAAGCATTGTTCTACAAAAGAGCTAGTGCAAACACATTACGTTGAATACCCCTTTTTGTGTTCGGCAAATCTGTGATTCTATAAAAACAGCAGAGTTAAAATGCAATTATTTGATTGTATTGTGGGCATATCTACACCTCAATGTGCAGTCATTCAATAATTGTGTTCACCAGCATGGTACCAAGCCATGGTAATAATATTGAGCTTGTCAGCAATGCCAATATCCCATCAGAGTTTTGATCATGGAACACGGAGCTCCCAATCACGACATCAACATAATGTGATAAATGCATTATTTCCTGAATGTTTACAGAAGGGATGTCAGTATATTGCAGGGCTTAGCTAGAATTTTGCAGACCTAAATAGATGATAGCATAATCGTAAGTTTTCTTTTGTGTATGTAGTTCAAGTTGTCTATTCTGTCCATCATTATCTTCAAATAATATCGCAAAGCATGTAATAGTCACACTCTGCAATTTCATTATCGCATACTCAAGTGCTTTTGTTTTCCACCATAGACTGACTGAAACATTTTGTTAGAAAAGTTATTTCGCTTAATTCCCTATCCCAAGAATTATAAGTATTTTTTCTGATATAGTGTCATTTCCTTTACTTTGTCCTTCTCTGAATGGTTTTCACAACTCTTTTACCTGTACAAAACACCTTGAGAAACCAATACTGGTTTTTCTAACTGTCTCAGCAGCATAGATTTCCAAAATGACTTTTCAGATTGAATTACCAGTTTGCCACGACCAATGATTGCTGATAAAATATTTCAAACACCACCCAGACATATCGTTTAAAATAAATCAACAGGTTATCCTCGTTTGCAGTAGCTATGATAATGCTACTTCAATTAAAACAAAAGTATATTTGCAGATAAATCAATCGATGTTAAAATTACTGTTCACTGAGTTGCAGGAGCTTTCAACCTGAAGTTAATAATGTGCTTATTTTCGTAAATGGCCCATATCTAGCTATGCTTGGGAATTCTTTCCTCTCGCCTTTGAGGTGCTACTCATCAGATTGACAGCAGTGGAGAGCACAGCTTGAATATAAAGTTGATAACATCAGTCAGGAAGAGAAACATGTAGGTTATTATACCACGTCTAAAAATATGAAGTTCGTGTCACCTTTTCTTGTTAAGTCAAACTGAAGGTACAGAATATGTTTTACAACGATGGAAGTTGGAGGAATGTTGGCATTCAGAGGCACCTGGGGGCTCAATTAAACAAACCATTGGCTCAATTACGCAAACCATTGGAAACGTATTTTCAGAAACCACACAAGCACAAACACCTACCAGTCGGTAGGTAGAATTAATTAAGAACAAGCTTGCACTTTTTTATTCAGAGATAGTAGGAACTGCAGATGCTGGAAAATCTGAGATAACAAGGTGTACAGCTGGATGAATACAGCAGGCCAAGCAGCATCTGATCTCATCCAGCTCTACACCTTGTTATCTCTGCTCTTTTTTATTGTTACGTTGGTGATTTTTAATCAACAGAAAATCAAAACGAATGTTCATTATACCTATCAATGCAATTGTTTAATGATCAAAATCATAACCCACTGCCCATCACTCTCTGGATCAGTTCATATGCTTGCACTGTGTCATTATTTATATTTCCCAAATAAATATCATTTCCATATACGGTGCACCAATCTTCGAACTAAATTGTGTTCACAATTATTTCTGCAGAGCCCCTACATAGTCAGGAAATAAAATCCCATCGCCACGCTCTCGATAAAACAATTGTGAACTATTTCCACCTCCTCGCACTTTCACCATAACTTTATTCTCCCTTTAAATTACATTAATCTTGCCCCTCACGTTAACACCCCATTTCAGTCGTCGATGCATCCTTCCATGCCTTCCTTAAATAAAGGCAAAGTTGATAGGATGGTATTCTCAATGGTGGAATATGTAGAAATAATATTACATTATTTCCAAGCTAATCCAGATCAGAGACATTATGAGGTATCACAACACAAAGCAATACTAAAACATTGGAATCTGCAACACCAGAAAAGATATATAGGATTAAATCACTCACATAAATAAATTGTCAGCTTGAATGCAGAAGAGAAAAGAGAAAGCTTCTGGTGCTCAGGAACAAATTAATGTTCAAGTCCCTTTCTATTGTGTGGAGGACCATGATTGAAGATTCACGAAGAATCATGCCTAAGGAAAGGATAATGTATTACTGGAATAGTGAGGGCAAATTCCAGTAAATTGGCGTATTTCTGTCGACAGGTGAGCCACCAGCTGGTATATTTGGTCGTTTGTCTATTGTATACTTAGGCCATCTGTCAATAAATGTTTTACTCACTGGCACAGCCAGATTACGAGTTAGTAGAATGCAGTCTGTTTCTTTCTGGTACAGGCAGGTCTTTGTTCATAAAGACGTTGTGACATGAGCAATCCCATCGCAACAGGCAGACTTTCAATAACCAGACTTTTAGATTCATGCCAATGAAGTTATGATCTTTTAACAGTTCACAAAAGAGATTCAATTTACAGCCATCAAGCAAACAATGTTTTCTACGTAAAGCATGGGATTACAGAAAGAAGAATTGAACTTCGTTTTCATTTTTTGCACAATTTAGCAATTAGACTCAATGGACATTTCACCATAATATTTAATTGTTCTCTGAACTTACGTTGTGTTACTGCATAAATAAATGAGTTTGTGCAGCAGCTTAAAAGCTGAAGCATATTTCCACTTTCTATAAAAATGAATTTCGGGTCATCAAAACCATGAATGATATAACTCTTTGCAAATCGATGCCAAAGAAACTCCACAACATATGTCATCCACAAAATGATGAAAGTACCAGATATTGCAAATAGTAAAATGATAGACTTTCTGCGGCTCTCCATCTCTTGATCACTCTTATTCTCTCCATTTCTTTGGGCACAGAGTCTTTTACGGGCTCTACTTGCCTTCAGAATGTGACTAACAGTCACCGCATTAAACAAAACAATCAGGAAGAATGGGAGACAAGGAGTTACAATACGATCAAACCAATCAAATGCTGTCCATAGAGGTGAAGTATAACGTATATTCTTCTGTCTACAAAACCATGGTGTGTTGTCAATTACGTAAACTGGTTCATGCATAAAATACCAGGGGATATTAATTGAAAAAGCTAGCACACAAACCATTCCTATGACCACAGCTGCTGTTTTCTCAGTGCAATATTTTGTTTTCAGTTTCAGGCAACAAATGGCCACAAGCCTATCAAATGTGAAAGTCACAGTTAACCATACAGAACTGTCTCTGCATGCATAAATTAGTGCAATACTGAAACTGCACACTGGGGTAATGAACATGAAACTACCGGGAAAATAAATAGCTGGAATTCGATTTAATATCACCGCGGTGGTAATGACCAGGAGATCCGTCACTGCCATACACACCAGGTACCTAGTGATACATCTGGAGAGACCGCACCTTCCTCTGGACAGGATCACAATCGCCACTACATTAACTGAAAGACAATGAAATCATGTTGCACAGAATTTATTTGCAGCTAACAAAATATGCAAATTGCACCTCGTGTATATTTACAGATCATTTTGATTTAGAGTCGTAGTCATAGAGTGCTCGTGTTAAACAACATGGAAACAGACCCTTCAATCCCAACAAGCCTCACTGACCATGTTCCCAAACTAAACTGTTCCCAACTGCCTGCACTTGTCCCATATCCTTCCAAACCTTTCGTACTCATGAACTTATCCAAATGTCTTTTAAATGCTGTATCTATACCTGCAATCACCACTTTCTCTGGCAGTTCATTCCAGACACAAGAAACTTGCTGTGTAACAATGTTGGCTCTCATGTCCTTTTTGAGTCTTTCTCCTCCCACCTTAAAAATATGCCCCCTAGTTTTGAACTCTCCCACACGAGGGAAAAGTCACTTGTGATTCACTTCATCTATGCTACTCATGGTTTTATAAACCTCGATGAGGTCACCTCTCAACCTCCTGTGCTCTAGTGAAAAAAAGTCCCAGATTTTCCAATGTATTTATATATCTCAAACCCTGCATTGTCAGCATTGAATAGCAGAACAGGCTGTTGGAGATCAAGGATATCCATTGTAACTGAGATCAAATGGCAAAACTTTACTACTTGACGAGATAGAAACAGATACGTTGTTACATGCAGCTGACATACTTCACGGGCATCTGGAGAATGCTTTAACATTCATATAATAGAAATACATCACAAAAACCGAGAGGGAAAGAAACACAATTACAATGAATTAAAATTTCCAAGTTGAACAAATGAACAAATGAAAAAGTACAGCACAGGAATAGGCCCTTCGGCCCTCCAAGCCTGTGCCAACCATCATTCCCTAATTAATCTAAAACCTAACCTGCCATTTTTCAATCTGCATCACTCTATTCCCTCTCCATTCATGTTCCCATCTAGGTGTCTCTTAAATGTCTTTAATGTACCTGCTTTGACAACCTCTTCTGGTAGTGCATTCCAGGCTGCTACCACTCTCTGCATGAAAACCTTGCCTCGCACATCTCCCTTCAAATTTTCCCCTCTCAACTTGAACCTGTGCACCCTTGTAATTGAAACTTCAACCCTGGGAAAAAGCCTCTGATTATCCACTCTATCTATGCCTCTCATAATTTTGCAGAACTCTGTCAGGTCTCCTCTCAGCCCCATCCTTCCAGAGAAAACCATCATAGTTTTTTTTAAACTTTCATCATAGTCAATCACCTGGAGATTAGGCAACATCCCAGGAACCTTCTCTATACTCTCTCCAAAACTTTCACGTCCTTCTGGTAGTGTGGTGACCAAAAGTGCACACAATACTCCAAATGCAGCCTAAAAAGGGTTTTATATAGTTGCAACATGTTTTGCCAACTGTTGTACTCCATGCCCTGGGAGATGAAGGCAAGCATGCCATATGCCTTCTTAATCACCTTGGCTACCAGTGTTGCCAGGTTCAGGGAACTGTGGACCTGCATGCCCAGGTTCGTCGTAATGTTAGTGTTCCTGAGAGTTTTGCCATTTCCACTATAATTCACACCTAAATTTGATCTTCCAAAATGCATCACCTCGCATTTGTCTGGATTAAACTCCATCTGCTATTTCTGTGCCCTAGATGCTAGTCTATCTATATCCTGTTATATACTTTCACAATTGTTGGCACTATCAGCAACACCACCAATCCTTGAGTCATCAGCAAACTTGCTTATCGGACCACCCATATTTTCCTCCAGATCATTTATACATAGTACAAACAACAAAGGACCTAGGACTGATCCCTGTGGAACACCACTAGTTACCAGTCTCCATTTCAAAAAACATCTTTCCACCACTACCCTCTGTCTTCTATGACCAAGCCAGTTTTCTATCCATCTAGCCACGCCACCGTGAATCCCTTGTGATTTTAGTTTTTGTTTTTAGTTTTTTCCACAGCCCTTCCCTCATCAGTTATCCTCATTACCTCTTCAAAAAATTCAATCTGGTTGGTGAGACATAACCTTCCCTGGACAAAACCATGCTGCCTGTCACTAACTAGTCCATTTTTCTCTAAATGCCCATATATCATGTCCCTCAGTATCTTCCCCAAGAGCTTCCCCACCACAGACGTCAAGTTCACTGGTCTATAGTTTCCTGGATTGTCCCTGCATCCTTTCTTAAACAAGGGAACAACATTTGCTAATCTCCAGTCCTCTGGAACGTCACCTGTGGTCAATGAGGATGTGAAGATATCTGCGATTGCGCCAGCTATATCCTCCCTTGCCTCTCTGAGGAACCTGGGGTAGATCCCATCTAGTCCTGGGGACTTGTCTATCTTAATGCAATTTAGAATTCCCAAAACTTCCTCTTTCAATATGTTGACATTCTCTAGAGTATTCGCACACTCATCCCTGACCTCAGCATAAGTCATGTCCTTCTCCTTGTTGAAAACGGATGCAAAGTACTCATTCAGAATCTCCCCCACTAACAGTGGCTCTATGTATAACTTCCCTCCTTCGTCCTTGAGTGGGCCTACTCTTTCCCTTGTTACCCTCTTTCTCCTAACATATGCATAAAAAACCTCAGGATTCTCCATGACCCTGTTTGCTAAAGACATTTCATGGCCACTTTTCGCTTTCCTAATTGTGCATTTAAGTTCCTTCCTAATTTCTCTGTAATCCTCCAGGGCTTCGTCAGATTGTTGCTGCCTGGACTTGTGGTATGCTTCCATTTTTCATTTGATTAACCTTACAATTTCCCTTGTCATCCATGGTTCCTGAATCCTGCCATTCCGATTCCTTAGTTTTGTAGGGACATGCATGTCCTGCACTTCAGTCAACTGGCCTTTAAAAGCCTCCCATATGCCAGAGGTAGATTTGACCTCAAAAAACTGCTTCCAATCCACATTCTCCAGTTCCTGTCTAATTTGGGTGTAATTGGCTCTTGCCCAATTAAGCAGCCTCACCCAAGGGCCACTTGTGTCCTTTTCCATGACTTCTCGAAATCTTATGGAGTTATGGACACTAAGCCTGAAATGCCCTCCTTCTGAAATATCAATCACCTGTCCTGGCTCATTCCCGAGGACCGAGTCTAATAAGGCCTCCTCTCTGGTTGGATTGTCAACATACTGCCTCAAAAAGCCCTCCTGGGCACAACTAACAAATTGGTTTCCATCCGAGCCCCTGGTTCTAAGGCATTCCCATTCAATAAGGGGAAAGTTGAAGTCATCCACTACAACTACCCTACTCTTTTCACACTTTTCCAGTATCTGACTACATATCTGCTCGTCTGTCATCTGTGGGCTATTGGGAGGTGTATAGGAAAGTCCCAACATTGTGATTGCACCCTTCCTGTTCCTGAGCTCCACCGATAATGCCCCAATGCAATATCCTTCCAATGTATCCTCCCTCAACACAGCTGTGATGTGATCACTCATTAGCAGTGAAACTCCCCCACCCCTTTTGTTTTCCTTTCTGTCCCTTTTAAAAGCGATATCCAGGAACGTTAAGCTGACAATCCTGTCCCTCCTTTAACTATGTCTCTGTCATGGCAATAAAATCATAATTCTATGCAGTAATCCATGCCCTTAGTTCATCTGACTTACTTGCTATACTTCTTGCATTGCAGTATGTGCATTCCAGTCCTCCAGTCCCTCTGAGCCCCGCAAATTCCCTGTGCCTCCTCTTACTCTGTGCTATGCATATCTCTGACACACTTTTGTCCCCAGATCCTGCATTTTCTGGCCTAGCATTCCAGTTCCCGCCGCCCTGCCACATTAATTTAAACCTTCCCGAAGACCTCTAGCAAACCTCCCGTCCAGGATATTAGTGCCCCTCCAGTTCAGGTGCAACCCGTCCTTCCCGTACAGGTCCCATCTTCCTCTGAAGTCATTCCAATTATCCATATGTCTGAAGCCCTCCCTCCTGCACCAGATCCTCCCAGATTTTCAGACTGGTCACGGTGACTGCAGTCTCCCAGAATTCCTCTCAATGACGTCTCTGCCGCCTCCTGATGGCACAAGGATGAAAACACATGGACCTTGCATACGAACGAGAAATTTAAATGGCAGGCAGCTTGTTTGAGGTCACGTATCGTGTTAGAAAAATACAAATTTCTTCTTGAAAGAGATAACTGTGTAATTTTAAATTAAACACATCAGTCAGAATTTCCTGTAAAATTAAGATAATGAATGGAAAGAGAAACAAATCAAAGCTGCGTACCTTGAACAAAAACAAAATCAGATTTCAAATCACTTCCACAACATAATTAAAGTTCTGGACATTTTCACTTTAGTTTTGCAGTCTCTGACTACTTTTCAGCATACATAAATATGAGAAACATTTCATACTAACAGATCCAACAGTTTGCTAGTATAATACAGGCTTTAATATAAAATAGAAACATATAACTTGGAACTCTAGGAAATGCTGACTGAAAACAAATACTTCCAAGATCAACATAATGTAATCACCTCAAATACTTTATTTCATCCAGTGTGGATCTCCGTCCTTGATATTCCAGCACCATGTAATTTTCTAACATAGTATGTGGCCTCAAACAAGCTCTCTGCCGTTTAAATTCCTTGTTCGTATGCAAGGTCCGTGTGTGTTCATGAGCATCCGCAGATTGTCGAGCAAAAACAAAACCAAGCTACAGTGCAAAAGTATGATTTATGGGTAGAAGTATGTAATTCGACCTCTGAAGTGTATTTGGTATTTCAAGAAGTACATGACTGATTTGTTTGTGCTTCGAATTCCCATTGATATTCTTCGAATTTATTGTTTGACGAGAATCTGAGTAATTAGCCCTTCAATCTTTCCAAATCAAAGGATATTTCACAGAATTTATTGTTTGACGAGAATCTGAGTAATTAGTCCTTCAATCTTCCCAAATCAAAGGATATTTCACAGAATCATTTGAGCATAAAATA